ATATAATGCTTCAGCACGAAATAGAGATGAACGATGATGTTCGGAAAGAAACTTGATCAAAATAATGATTAGAAAACTTTTATCGCCATGCAATCTTATGGTGCAACTCATCAAAAGTTAAACAGATCCAAATGAGTCCATTAATGAATTCGTGTTATATCGTATAAACATTTTCTGAACTGAACGAATTTTTCTGTTATTCTCCACAGTTTCATCAATTTCCTCCGCGGCTGAGAATCGTTCATTTATTATTGTAACATGGATAATTTCGAATGTTGCAGTCGAAAATATCGGCATCGTCATGGTCACACTTTCCATCTCGTGAGTTTATGTTTATTTCATGGTAATCAGAGCGTTTATGACTCTTTTCCAATAAACAACGTTTAACTGCGAGTATGAACATTCCACTGTTGATAGGAAAGGGAATAGGACCGCATGATTACGGGCCTAAAACGTTTTTGCGNCCATGTTCTCCTTAGAAGGGTTTTATCGATGCAAAATGTTTGTAAAGCATTTTGTTGAGCACTTGTGTCCAAAAATCTCATGCTCTCTCTTTCATGCAGATAAACTTCTCGAAATACAGACTTACTTTTTGCGGTATTTTCATGGTTTGATAAATTACTCAATTTAGTGCTGTTTTCTCCATCGTGATCATTCGAAGAGATCTCTTCTCCCATTTGAACAAATTCATTACGATGATTCACATCGACATCCATGACTTTATATGCAGTAAATATGCAGCACGTTTTTAGCCATTAAGTGCTTTGTATTTAACATTTGGGGAGTGATGCAGAGGAAAAATTTCTATAGAGAGATTTTCAGCTGATCGCTGAAACCGAAATATCTGATATATCTGAGGGATACAAAAATCGTGAAAAGGAAACAGTGAGTAAATTGTGATAAAACATATATGGACAACTCGTTGTCGAATCAGTTTGTTCATTCTCGTTCAGGAAAAAAACTCAAAGTATAACAAGATCAATATATCAGTTCGAGCTCTACAAGCGATGATTACGCAAGCAATTCTATTTTCGCAAATCACTTGAAGGAAAAAATGGAGTTTTGACAGTTCGTTTTGAATTACTCAATTTTCAGGCAGATAGTCAAATTTCAATTGAACAATAGTACTACCGATAATGGAGGAGTCTGTTTGGAACATAGCTCCATTGGACAGACACAAATTGGAANATTGATATAGTTTTTAAGGGAAATGATTGATTCACCAAAATATTAAACAAACACAGAAACCTGCATAATTGAATAAGCTTATGATAAATTTGATAGATAAAAGCGATAACTTTCAGGGGACAATGACGCATCTTGAAAGAAACATAATTCAGTGGAATCTTGAACGATATCGCAAATACGATGAAACAGGCAAAATTATCCAAACATCAAAACGCATCACAAGAATGGAAATTGAATCAAATTGCACTTATTGTTAGCTGGTTAGATTGCCTGAATGGCAGCTGAAATGCAAATGCATCGAATTGTATTCAGAGTCGATCGGACATATTTAAAATTCAGATAAGGATTTATTTGCAGTGATCTGTGTATTTTGATCAAACTTCCATGCGAGTGATCGAATGCATATAGGTTCGGTAGGTTCACGCCATGCATAACAGGCTGATCCAGAAGGTAGAAACGCTTAGATGATGAAAGCAAACTGGACGTCTCGGATGGGGTGAATAGCGTCGGGTAATCGCTCAACGTGATTATCAACGATCAGCACATAATTTTTCACGAACGCATCACTAAGCTGTCATGATCATACTCAGAAATCGTTCACGATATTGCGACCATCACACTATATGTCAGTCAAGCAACACCGACATTATTGATCAAAGCTCGTTTCTATTCTCGGTTTCATAGTACAATCTCCATTTTACGCGAGCTGTGGCACAACAAACAATTTCAGCTGTCAATGAGCAGTATTGATCATCATCATAATAACAATAATTCTGGCGATGGTTTGATCAAAATTCGATTGAATATTTTGAGTAAAAATGACAGAACTTCGTAAACCTTCAAAAAAGCGATCAAATGCTAGCCAGAGGAATTAACTACTAACAATGTGGCACACACTGGTGGGTGAGGCATTAATGGGACGATTGTCCTCAGATAAGAGGTGAAATTTACACCGAGTACAGTTTTGCGAAGCGGCTCAGTTCCCTTGATAAGTAGAATGAACTTGACAAGAGTACAACTACTAAAAGAACTCTGGCATTGTTGGAGTGAGACCATTGAACTAGAAATTGTTGAATAATAGGACGAAGAGCACAATGAAACGTACTTGAATATCGAATGAAGTAATGATAATACGATGTTTTGCGCAAACAAACAAACTTAACGATTTAAACGACATATTCTCGTTAAAACGTTACGGCATTGATCGAAGTCTAACAAACAAAACAAATATTTATTTATTTATATAAACATACACTAAACTCGTCGTCCTTTGACTTACGAATGCACAACATTCTTCAAACGATTCTATTGCATAGTAATGTATTCAACTATTATCCACCATATCATAACGTATTTCATTCTGCATTATTTCAAGATTGCACTGCACAAAGTCACTCTTACAACTCAAGAAGTCATTAACATCAAGCATATGTTAGGTAAAAGAACGAATTCGTATCTAGTAATAGTTGCCGTGTCGATGCTCGCCTCCACATCAAACCTTTATGCACATTTTGCTCTCATTCTATTCGACAACTGAATATACCTCAATTCTGAACGCGATGCTGTCAGAGATTCCTTTAACTGTCAAATTGCAAGACCCAAATAATCCGACAGAAAACATACAAATCTTCGTCCAGGAGCCAAAAAATTTTAAAAAGTTAAAAATAGCCCAAGAACCCAATCTTCCTCACTTTACGAGTTCTGTTGGTACTCAATTTCAACACATTAGCAACATTGTTGCCCATTACTTTCTTCATTAACAGATCGCAAGAATCATGTTTTCGAAATATGCCATAATCAACTCAAACGCTTCATGGCGTTTTGCTCCATTGTATCTCCAGCTAATCAGTATCTCACAGAATTTCCTCTTGTAAAGGTATAATGTTCATTATAAAGTCAAACCTTCATGTAATGAAGCTTTAACTTTTTTTAAACATAACCTTTTTAACGATGAAGCTTTAACAAACATAACTTTATGTAGCTCTGAACATCGCATATCAACATTACTTTATACAGTTTTGATTATCGGAACAATACCACAAATAGTTAATTCGAAAATTATTTGCAGCGATGCAATACTAACAAAGTGAGCACACGCAATTCAAATGATCCAAAGTTCTCTTTTATCCCAAACAGATCGAAATTTTACAACTCATTAACTCGAACGAGAAAATGAGTGAAGAAATTTATGAATGAATTCATTTGCTCGCAGCTGTTTTACTATTAGTGAATATGTACTAACATGTGAATGGGTTCAAATGAAATCCTGCGCAAACATGCACTGAAAACAACCACTCGAACAGAATTCAACGATAAATACATTCGGACTGTCGATAGATTGCGTCTCAAGCATCATCAAAATCAGATTTCGCATCAGTTGCAGTTGAAAAAGCATCTCAATGTATTACAGATGCCCAAGGCAACATGAAGCACTATCCTTATCTGGGAAAATTGAGGGAGGATAGACTATGACCACGTTAACAGAGTGGTATTTGACTATTGTGCAAATTTGAAAATTCATAACACATGTGCTCATAACACATTTTGCATTAGATGCACACGACTGATGATTTATGACTCAATTTGATTAGCTTTACGATCAAACGACGCTCTCATTAAGCCTCTCCATAACCGCGTTGTGTGATCAAAACAAGCTATTAGACATTCGAAGTAACCAAATTCAATGGGGATTTTGGCATAGCAATATTCACAAATATTTCTTATCCTCAATGTTATTCTAAGTGATGATGAATTTTTTCAACTCCTTTCATTTCCTGCATATAACATATTAATTCTAAACTTTGCTCAAATTTCATCAAATTCTGAGTACAACTAAATCACTGAACTACATCGAATTGCAACGTCAGCATTGTTAGAATGAGTTAAATGTTCTTGTTGGAATAGATATGCAGCATTTTATGCAAATGCAGTGAGCATGCAAAAAGATTGTAAAAAATATCAAGAATGAGCTATTACATAGACAATTTTTTTACAGCCTTTGATGCATTATGAATAAATCATCGTTGATTCTCTTCGTTTCATTCTTGTCTATTGTGTTGCATCGTTCAAAAATCCAATATTATCAAACTTCACGATACCTAACAAAAATGTTTATTTTTAAATGGTACATTTTAAGCGAGCAATTTGTGCGGATCGTGATGAAGAAATGGAATAATTTGATGGATTGGTGCCTTGGAAATTTCGGAGAGAAAAACTTTTGAAATGAGTGAGAATGTCTGAGAGCGCTGTGATTGATTAGCACAGACTTCATCTATCGACGATACATATTTTATTTCATTCATTTTAAGCACTGCTCCATGAAAAGCATTAAGAAAACGCTGCTGCTGGGAGAAAGCGAATAAAGCTATGATTGCAGAGATCATTTATCGTAATGTGATCGTGATATTATAGTGAACTGAATTCAGAAATTCAGCCATATTGAAATGGAGCTAAAAATCAGACCATTCCAATATCTACGTTGAGTGATTAAATGACCGAATCATTCTCGTATGTGTCAATTATTCTCTCATTAGTTTTCATGTTGGTTTACTGAATAAATCAATCGACTGATATTGGCAGGACGAGAACCGTTGAATTTTTGCTGAGTTCTAAATGAGTTGTTCTGAGTCCTGCCAATTAGTTCTGAGTGTTTGATGAGTTTTCGGTGAACAAGCTTCCACAAGTGTTTCAAACTCTGCTCAACATGAACTCTTGAATGAACTATACAACATGAATTTAATAATGAATTTTCATAATAAGAAATGCCTGCTTTCGCATTGAATATGACTTGTGCACATCACTTAAAGACTGAATCAAGCGTATGCAAAGAGCAAAGGCATGCATTTAAAAAAACTAACTTCCTTCTCTTCTGCATTCGAATTGCATTTAGCATGATTCGACGGAGATGATTTTGACGAGCGATTCGAGTGGGTCGATGATTTCATTGCGATAATATTTTGAACACTAGATGGCTGATATGCAATCGAAACGCCAACTGAATCGCCACTCAATTCAGCGTCTGGTTTCGACTGCACATTCGCATGCTCCTCTGACGAAGCGTTTTTCTGCGCTTGTGTCATCGACAGTCAATCCAAATTCTATACTTCTACCTTAAAAAACACATTCATTCGAAACTCATAATGCTCATCCGAATACAACGGATGTGATATGCATCGAGTATACGATATGCATCGAATACAATACGATAACAACTTTCCGATTAACCGTACATCGATGTAATCGAACATTCAAATACTGCGAATTAATTCGACCAATCCCATCACAAGATCACACTCATTGCTCTTTGAATTCATTCGCAATCGTCGACTTCAAAGAAAGTTGGAAGATGAAAATTTATTTTTCAGTCTTCTAACGAATTCATTTAGTACATTATTGCTCACAATTATATAAAATCATAAGTGCGCTCTAGAGGTTTGGATCAAAAATGACCTCAATCAGCTGACCCAGTTCAAGAGTTATTACCCGATGGGTTCCAGACAAATACCGAATAAGTCTGTAAATGTGAAAATCCATGCAGTTTTAGCTGAGTACCAATTTACTGGACAAAAAATGCCGATCCCACAAACGAGCGAGTCAATACGATCATAAAACCATTTATACTCGTATGAAAATTCTTATCCGGATCGTTCTTTTCTCAGCACAATGATGAACAGCATCGAAGTGATAGGCGGCATCGAATATAACTTTTGCTCAATCTCCACAAAGAGTTTCGCATGCATTTTCTGTGCGATTAAAAGGATTCGATTGCATTTTTTGAGTGGCTGACAAACAATACGCTNCAATACAATTAATTAGAACAGAAAGTCGGAAAGAATGGAGTCTTTGAAAACGATTCAACAGCAATGTACTGAAGCAGTTCCGAAAAACTCTTCACTCATCATGCGAACAGCTAAAATGAGCAAATGAGCAGTGAAATGTGCGCTTCATCAGCGACAACATTCAAATGATGTATCGTCATCGTTGTGTGACAATGTCATAATTTTTAATCTTAGTTTGTACCTTTCGAGAAACGAAACGTTCCAAACGCAATAACCGAAAAGAAACTATTCGAAATATTTCAGTGCGTTAAACAATATCAATTTAAATCAAGTGAATGTTTGTAGGTTACGGATGCATAAAAATCAAAGCCATTGATATTGAATGCCTTTCCGATGAGAGGAATACATGGCTGCTGAATGCTGTACACAACTACTACAAAATTACCCGATGATCAGAGAACAAAATCACTGCATAGAAAATTGTCACCATGTATTTCATGCGGCAATGACAACCGCACTATGGTTTAGCGAATTTTCTCAATTTGTCATTTCGAAATGTTCATAAAGAAGTGTGAATTGGGCAGTACTTTCATGCTGATTCTTACGCTAGCAGTCCATGTCCTTCACGTGCTCATGCTCTTCATAATCATATCTAACAATGAATCAATGATCGATCGCTGAAATCATTGAAAGTAGCCACAAATGTATTGAAACGCAGTTAATTATTATAACGTTATGCAATGACTGTAATTGTTCATTGTGGTCGTTCGATATGGTTGCGTTTAAAATAGAAATGCAAATTTATTGTTGGTATACACATTTACGATACAATCAAAGCATTGATGTACACTATACGTAATGTTCATAGATGAATCAAGCTTAATTGCAACAACAGTGTGCAGCATTAGAAATTGCCTGAAAAAGAACAGATCCTGTTGAACGAAGTTTAATACTTCTATCAATGCTGTAAGAATCTTTACAAAGTGTTCTTTTTTATCGCCAAAAAACCGTTTTGAGAAAAAGAATAACGGTTTGCGTGAAACGAAATGATCTCTAACAAGAGAACCAAACGACTCAAAAGATCTGCGCTGTGTAAAGACGGACAATTTTCTGTCAAATTCGAATCATTACACATCGAAAGCAATCAAATGTAAATATAACTTGCAGCAGAATCGTTACATAAAATCTAATTTACATTGGACGCGCATTTCCGCAAAAGTGGTGAACTATCAATAGCAATTACGTATGAGAAGACATTATGAAGGCAAGGAAGCAAGTTGAAAAGAATCATTACGTTTCCGTAAGTACTCGTATGGTTCAAACGAGTAGTTTGAAGTTTGATCTAAGAGGTGAAATTATAATGATAATTATCATGAAGAGTGTGTCATCGGAAATCAGTGAGGAGAAGGCATGCGATTGAAATGGAATTGGTTAGTGCCGATAAAAGGACACTGAAAAGGATGAAGGGTGACAGAACAACAAACTTACCATAGATATTAGGGTAATATAATCGTAACCAAACCATACACCAACTAAAAACCGAGCAAAGAAAACGGGGTCAACACCATTGTGTGGAACGATAAAATGACAGTCGCAGTTGTACGCAGTGCTGCATAACATACATTCAAACTAACTGAATTTTATCTGCACTTTGGCTCATCGACTTCCATTATTTGCAAACAATTCAAACGATGACTTCCTTTCTTCGCTTTCCCTCTTTCTCTTTCAAGGGATGACCCCTAAATTTATTCGAAATTCAATGATATCTTAGAATAAACCCAAGGCGCAGAAGTGTGAATGATGAGATGGTAATGAATTTCAATGAAGTGCGAAGAAAATTGCCGAAGGTTTGTGTATACTTTCGAGAATTTTGAGAGATTTATAAATTTCAAATCAGTTGATGATGAATACACGCTCAGTCGGTGTAATGGTGAGCTGTTGACCGGAACCTTTCTGAAAGTGAGACCATCGTAGCATTTGCGTCAACTCATTAGACAGCAGAATTTTAAGTCGCGATAAAGTGTTACACTGATGAATGTGGTTCATAATTAGCCAAATGAATAGAACGAATAGAATATGTTGCAAATGAATGAATACGTAATGCGAAACTGCGTATTTTTGAATGCAAAACGCTCATGCAAAATGCTATCGTTTTCTGGAAGGAACGCTTTTGGTGATTTAAAACGTACGACGAGGTTTGAACAGCAAATGAATTTCAATCAAGAAATTAACGAGTGCGCTCAATCAGTATTGTCACTGAACGCTCGGTTCATTGCTGAAACTGTGGTGGTTCCTCGAGGATTGCACCTGTTTGCTCAGAGCTTGAGATGAGGCTATTCTCAGCAAGTTCATTCAAACCTTCAGAAACGCACTGCGTGCATTACAAATGCCTTGAGAGATCATATACACTCTACACAATCTTCACCTGAATAAACATCTATGCAAATAAATCAAAATGATGTGCACTGCATTTGAAAGGAGCCTCGATCGGGATCTTTTTCGTTCGCATGATGCAGATGATAACTGCAGATAAGGAGGGACACTGATCAAGAAACTGAATCTGATCAACGAAACAGGAATTGTCGGTTCGATTTTGTTAATGACATATTTAAAAGTTTCGCTGACTGTAAAGGTAATCTTTGGGAAGTGTTCATCTTTCACATTTCCTGTTCAATGCATTAACTCCATACCGTTGAAAAAGTCTTGCAATAGTGAAGCCATTCTTTATGAAAGCATTCACGAAAGATTTCAGAATCACATAGCATAGCACTTTAATAGATTATAGAATCGAGGTCACACTGTTGCATACTCGACTGGAAATCGTTTCATTTTGTGGTCAGAGCCCAAAAAATATCACAACGAAATCAAAAGAAACCATTTATAAACCAAATGAAGTAATTGTGTTTGATATGGCTCTTCAAAAATCGAACAATTAGGTGGTTGAATTTGCAACAAATTCACTTTTTGTCGTCACTTCTTCGGAGACAGCTAATGCAAAAAAGAACATTGAGTGCAGAACTGAGCAAGTTCATCTGCAAGGGCTATAGGAGGGCGAACGTTATGAATGTGNGTGCATTGCTTGTGAATCACATATTAAACGCATGAAGCACATTGAATCACATAGTGAAAAAGTCGCATGCGCATTATTGAGATGCATTGCAGCGTGAGAATGTTCATCTTCATTTTTTTCTCTTGAACTGGGATTTCTGAAAGTATGATGAGATTTTCCTTTCTCTATGAACTGATTTTCCTTAATTTCTTTGGCCAGAAAAAAGTAAGCGTTTTAAGCAGTAATCATTGCACTTTATTATCTCTAACATCAACCCTTGCCGATCATGAACTAGCGAAAAACTGAAGTGTCGGATTGATTATGAGAGAGGTTTGCAAGAATGAAGCAAATCGTAATGATATTTCATTCGACAACATTTCACTAATTAACGTGCAACTCTCGCTTCGTAACGCTCCATTTGTTTATTTCAATAATTATTGAATTTTCTGTTGCGCAGCGCTCGAATAAAATTGCAAATAGAATTGAACCACTCGAATAGAATTGCAACGATTTAAGACAAGTCGACGGTCATTGTAGTCATTGTAGTTTGAGCAACGTGACTCGTGCAAACTACTTGTATGGCTGTTGTCAGTTTCAACTATTTTACCTAATATAGCGGAAACTTGTCTTGGATTGGTCCTTAATTGGTAATACAGCCAATCTTGCCCACCTATGCTGTTTTTACCCAATTTTTCAGTTTAAGGGAAGAATTTTCGAAAAAATGCTTCTCAAATTGCAAATGAAACAACGTCTCAGAACGGAAGATTTTGATTATTCTTGATNAGACGTGCAAGTTTCCTGCTATCTCGAAAATCATTTATGAATCATGCCTAGCAGTGCTTGCTTACTGCTAGGCATGATTCCTGGTCACGTTGGGCTCCAAAAATTTCTACGGCAACTACGATGAAACAACCAATTATTTGCTCGAAACGTCAGTGGTGATTATTATCAAATTATTGTTGCGAGATGAGAGAGTTCAAGTGCAATGGGTCATATCCTGGTTGTTCACTTTTTATTGCGTTTCGCTGAAGAACATTGGAATTTAGTTGTGAGCATTTCGAAACTGTGATTTCCTCCTTATTACGGGTCATTCGATTTGATCGCAACAGTTACCTTAGACTGAATAGAAAAACATCAATTCTTAGTGAACCTAGTGAAGTTCGTTAACGTTTGGCTGATCACGATTAATATTCAACGATAGTTTGAAAACGTTGATCATAGCGCTTAGGAAAACAAAGGAAAATTAGGAAAA